GATGTTTTGGGTGAAGGTTCATGGGTGGCGCTGGAAAGGGAGTAATGGACAGAGTGGCCTGCCTTCGAGCAGTGTGGATGCTCTGCCTTCAGCGGAGTGTAAAGTAAATATGGCGGTGATTTGCCGTCGTGTGGGATTGGGGGTGCCTCTGCGTGTCTGTGCGTGAGGTGTGCGCCGCGTGCCGTGTGTGTGGCCTTTTCTTTTTTTTTTGTTGTGGCTGCGTAGGGTCGTGTTTGTGCATGTTTTTGGCTTTTTTTTTCATTCTCCCTTTTTTGGCTAGTGGTTAGTATTGCTTTACAACTTAAGCCAACAATCACTACAAAAGGACAACAAGTTCAAGGAAAACATGTCGGATAGATATAGGGAAGAATCTCACCCCACCGAGGAGACCCCCGCACAGCGCCGAAGGGTGGAAGGAGCGCCGCAGCGGCCAAGGTGGACGCTATCGAGCTCTATCGGGGATGTCCGTAATGTACGGGTTGATCAAAGCAACGAAATTTTGCTGAACGACTTCCTTCGGCAGTACATTGGCCCCAGCAGAGCGGTGGGTGAAGACCAGAATGTGTGGATGGAGGTGTTTGTGCAGCAGCCCGCATAATACGTTACAGAGCAGAGGCGTCGTGAGGGGAAATCCTCACTTTCACCAGGGTATCAGCTTTTTGAAGATGCACGCAAGCTTACGGAGCGCATGGTGGGCACGCTGCGAGACTGGAAGGAGTTTACAGATAATGAGTATTGTCTCTGCTATTACACGGACAAAACTGAAGGCAGCTCTTCAACTAGCGTAGGAGGAAGGGGCAACACGGGAAACCGAAATACGCCCCAGAGGACCATCACCGGAGGCATTCTACGAGTCCGTGTTTAACGCAACGTGGAGTCACGTCGTGGGATTTCCCGAGGGCGAAGTGGAAGACATGGTGGTGATAGAGGGTCAACGGCCACAAGAGTTATTATGGGAGTACACGCAGACTGTGTGTACTTTTCTCCCAGTGGGTGGTGAGGAGCAATTCCATCCACCACGCCCAAAACACATGATCCTTTCCTTTGAAAAGCGATGGCCTTACTCGCTGAACCATGCAGTGCCTATTACCGACTGCTACATTAACATTGAGGTGCATCGGGTGTGGAAGATCGTCGAGGGTGATGTAAAAGGAGTGTTTCCCCCTCCAGATACATACGCACCTAAAATGAGACGTCATCTTTTGATTGGAACTTCTGGGGTGGGGAATTCAATGGCGGCTGGCTCCTACCTCCTTTACCAGCTGCTGCACTACGATGCCACGAAGCTCCATGTGGTTGTGTACTGCTTTGGAAGGGATTTCGCATACTTGTTTGACAAGAGGGCACGAACGGTGACAGAATACGGGGGTGAGAGTAATATTGGAAGGGCTATGGTAAATTTGGCTAGGAGTGGAATGAAAGGGTGCATCATCATCGATATGGCAAGACATTTTCAAGAGCCATCGAATGATGTTGTGCCCTCCCATGAGTGGGGCATCATTATGTTGTCATCCCCGAACGAAAATAACTTCCAAGCATGGGCGAATCAGGCGGGTGCTATCGAAATCATCATGAATTGCCCCGATGAAAGCGACGTGAAGGCGATGTGTGCGTGGGAGACACGCAATACGACTGAAGAGGAGCAGGCGGAGTATTGGAGAAGGATGCACATGCACATGGATGACGTCGGACCGATTCCACGATGCATCTTTAATGACAATAAATATAAAAACCGCGTGCGTGATGCCAATAACATCGTGGCAGCTATCGAGGCCTCAGATGCTGTACATTATGGGATGATTGGAGGCATGGGAATGTGGCCCTCGAATGACGCTTCTCACAAACTTGTGAAAGCTGTCAGGTTAATAACACAAGGCGATGTTGAGGAGTTTGTTAACATGCCGGCCTGTTTTTCCATTGAAAGCGAATTAATTGCAAAGTTGCTCGAAGTGGATGAGAAGAATGACATTTTTTTTCGACTAAGCAAGAACTATAAAGTGTTATTTCAGGAACTTTTGGGGCAGCATACTCTTCACACATTCCTGAGTAGAGTCTTTGTGGAAAATATAATGCCGGGCCTCAACGAGTTGCCTCCACCAGGATGTCGTCGGCGACAGAGATGTGTGCTGCAATCGAACCCCGAAAAGCATCCAAGCAGACCCGTTGGATTAATGCCGCTGGGCTACAATCCTCCGATGTTTTGATGTACAATACAAGGTGCTATACGTACCGGAGAGCAGACATTTTCCGTTTGTGGACGGTTTTTTCTTCGTTGGTGCACCGCGGAGGACGATGGTTGCGGTGCAGGTGAGACGACGAGGGCTGAGCATGGCACCAAGGCCAGCACGGTGAGGCGGTTCAACAATCTTCCACGGAGTTATTTTAATGACTGGGAAACTTTTGCGGAAGGCTTGCCGTGGGAGATTATTTACGTGCAGCATGAGCACAGTACGTCAATAAACGCGTGGCAGCAATGTGTTGTCGTCGCGCACGCAAATGCAACGGGCAGCAATGAGCGTGAGGACCCTCAGGCCATTGCGGCATTTTGGAATCAGCAGGTGCGTCAGTGCGAGGTAGCGGTATCAGCTGAAAATTTCAGAAGTGAACGACAAACCCAACGTGGGCGGCAACCAGAGGGAGAAGGAGAAGGAGGAGGGGAATAAACAGCTTGAGTTTACTGGTGAAGTATTTTGGGGAGTATGATATATTCCCGAGTGTGTTTGTGTGTGGGTAGGAGGCGTTCTTAGGGACTCGCTCTGCCGTGCGCCAAATGATTATTATGGCCAGCACTACCACAGCAGCACATTTTTTTTTGTTTGTGTTGTGGTTGCGAGTAAAATTGTGTGGGGAATGATGGCACCTTGTGGGTGTACGCCAGCAGTATTCCATTGGTGATATCCCCTCGCTGTTCCCAGTTTGTTGCTGCAGAGAGTTTGGGCGAGAGGGTAAGTTTTGCATGCTGAGTGGGATCACCGGCAGGAGAGCAAATGCGGCGGGGCCACCACAGCCCAGAGGTCAGGGGGCAAACCGAATTATTGTGATTGCTTTTGTGTGTTGGCGTGGTGTTTTTCTCTTTTGTTTTTTTGGGTGCCATCGTTTTTTTTGGTTCGTCTGTGCTCCAATTGGTGGTGGTGCTGCATGCGCCGCTGAGAGCCTCGAGCAAACGCCGTTGGCGTCTCTCTTTTTGTTGGTTTGCCGTCCTGGGCGCATGCGCCTGTTCCGTCTTGTTCGGGCTGCACGCACTGACCGGGCAGTCTGAGGCTACGGCTTCGCTCGCGTAGCCCTCGCTTCCGAGCGGAACGAAGCAGCAGGAAAGGGGGCTGCCGCTCTTATTCCGCAGGGTTTGTTTTTAATGCTTTTTATTGTTTTTATTTTTAGTTTTAAATATTGCGCCCCACTCCTGCTGCAGTGTGCTGAGGGAAGTGGGGGGCGTTGGGGATTTTGTGGAGGTCGTGATGGGAGATCCCGCCGGCATGCGCACTGCATGTTGCTGCTGGCGGGGTTTGAAGGGGCTGGGCGGGGGAGACGGTAAGCGACTTGTCCATGAATTAGTTTTTTTATATTTTTATTTATGCGGGGGCATCCCACACTGCGGACGCTCCGTGCGAGTGCGTGTGGGTGTTTCTTCGGGCCGCGCACAACAGTCGCTGCCACCGCCGCCTTCTTTGCGGCTGCCGTCTCTTATTGGGGGCGGCGAGTGTGAGGTCATGCGGCCTAAGTGTTTGTCGGTGCGGCCTTCGTTGTGGGCTCTCGCTGTTCTTTGCGTGATGGCCAACTGTGGGTGCGGGCGGTGCTCATCGTTTTTTTATTCTTTTTTTTTGTGGTTTCACCTCTCTTTTTTTCCTCAACACACGAAGAAAAGACACCAAACGCTACTTGTTGTTGTGCACATTGAAAAGCTCTACAGTCACCACCATCACGCACACACTTTCACACACAATCGTCGCGGCCTGAGCGGATCCACCGCACAGAGGGAAGAGAGTGTGAGTGAGCAGCGACACATGTTCAAGATGTCCTGGAATTTGTTTTCTTATTTGGTGCTTCTGCTGCTGTTTGTGCTCTTGACATGCTGTGGCAGTCAAGCTGCGGGGAGTATCCCAGGGACGGCCGTTAATTCATTTACAGGGACGACACCGATAACTGATGCCAAATGGGAGGAAATGCAATGCGTCGAAGGGTCATTTCGCTCGCTGCGTGCCCCCAGCCTTGTGGAGGTGGACGGTGCTGTGCTTGCCGTTGCTGAGGCCCAGTGCAAGAATGGAAGCGGCAGCTTCACTGGCATCTTGTCGCAACACCTCAAGGGAATTGGACCAGAACCGACTGAGATTCCGATGGGTGCGGGCACAAGTTCCTTTCACACACAGCTGCTGAAGGAAGGTGACAACGAAATGAGGGATACAGTGCGACCAACGACAATTGTGAGTGGCAATGGTGTCTATATGCTGCTGGGAAGCTGCAGCCGTGCAACATTGGAGAGCAAAGAGGCTGATCGAAGTGAATGTAAGATTATGCTGGTGAAGGGGAGTGTCACTGACGGTGGAGAGAAGAAAGTCCAGTGGGGTGAGCCGCATGCGGCGGACTTTGAGGCCCGAATACGTGCTACACCCGGGACTTATGTCTCTGCTGGCGGAGGGTCGGCTACTGTGATGAGTGACGGCACACTTGTGTTTCCCTTGCAGGCCACAAAGAGTGGAAATACCTTTTTGATGGTCGCGCACTTCACCCCATCAGAGAATAAATGGGAGCCTGTAGTCGATACGGTTGGTGAGGGTTGCTACAATCCATCGATTGTGGAGTGGGGCGAAGTCGATGACCGACGCATCTTCATGATAGCTCCCTGCACGGATGGCTCCTATCATGTATACAAGACTCTTGCATCTTTTTCTTTGTACTATTGGCCGACCGGTGAACCAATTTCTCAAGTGTGGGGCAATTCACGTGATGGAAAAGGGGAGGGCGTGCGAAGTGGCTTCATCACTGCAACCATCGATGGAATGAAGGTGATGCTGCTCACCACGCCGGTGTATTCTGAGGAGAAGGGAGAGGGTCAGCTGCATCTTTGGATGACAGACAATGCCCGTGTGCACGACGTTGGGCCGGTGTCTCGCGAAGGTGATGACGCCGCCGCCAGCTCCTTGCTGTACAGAGCTGACAAGAAGGAGTTGATTTTACTGTACGAGAATAAGAAGAGCGGAGATTCATACAGTCTTGTCGCCGTGAGCCTGACTGAGCAGCTGGAGCAGATAAAGAGCGTGGTGAAGGTCTGGAAAGATATGGACACCGCACTGAAAAACTGCGCTTCCACTGGCACTGTTGACCCGCGGATAAAGAATGTGTGTAAAAGTGCTGTTCCCACCAAAGGGCTGATTGGCTTTTGGTCCAACAGTTTGGAGGGGAATTTATGGAAGGACGAGTACCTCGGAGTGAACACAATTGTGCATGGTGGGAGTGTGGCAGGCACGGAGAGGGGTGTGAGGTTCCGAGGCGCAGCAGCGGGGGCGAAGTGGCCGGTGGGCAACAAGGGGCAGTTCCAGCCGTACCACTTTGTGAACAAAAAGTTCACTCTTGTGGCGACGGTGATGATTAACGCGGTGCCGGAGACAGACGGTCCTGTTCCTTTGATGGGTGTGAGGATGAATGACGATGCCAGCACTGTGCTTGTTGGTCTCTTCTACACGAAGGACAAGAAGTGGGGAGTGACTGTCAACGGAAAGTCTCGGGAGTTGTCAGATAAAGATGGTACGTGGCAGCCTGGCACAACGTATCAAGTGGCACTGAAAAGGCATTGGAATGAGGTGTATGTGTACGTTGACAATAATGAACTTATTCAGGAGGAAATTTCGCCCTCTGAGTATACCTCACGGGATGTCTCGGACTTCTACGTTGGCGGCGACGGTGCGAAGGGGACAGGCGAGGTTGACGTGACGGTGGGCAATGTCCTGTTGTACAACGAGGCACTGGGTGATAATGGGCTCACGAGCCTCAGTGCCAGCAAAGTCACACTTCCAACACCGGCTGGTAAGGGACCACTCACAACGCAGGGGAATGATGAGGAGATTACCTCCAAGCTGAAACCTGGAGAAAAGATGGTTGGTGACGGTTTGAATCCTGAAGGACCTCTACCAGAGGAGGCCCATAAAGGCACTCACAGTGCTGGTGAGGAGTCGGGGTCATCGCCGGCTGATGGATCCAAAAGCACCAGCGCGATTCTTGCGAAGGACACATCCAACATTTCTCTTTCTGGTGACAGCTCCGTTGCTTTCGACAACCTTACACGTGTGAGGCCCGATTCAGGAAGCGGTGATGGCACGATGCGTGGGTGTGTGTCTCGGCTGTTTCTGCTGCTATTGGGGCTATGGGGCTTTGCGGCCCTGTGCTGAGTGGGCCCCGGTGGAGGGGAGTTTGTGCTTCTACTGAGAACATCTCCGTCTCTCCACGCGCTTTCAGAAGTAAATAAAGTCTAATGTAGTCACACATTTTGTGTGTGTGTGTTTTTTACGCACGACGTTTCTTTTTTTGACCCACAAATTGCGCACTCCTCTCGGCGCCAGTACAGCGCAATCCTCATTTTTTTATTCCGTCCATTTTTTTTGTTTTTTATATTGTTCGCTTCTAGCAATGACTGGAGGCGAATCACCGTTTTTTTTTGTGTGTATTTGTTCAGTGTTTTGTTGGTTTACTGCTTTACGGATGTGTTTTTTTTTGGTTTTCCGGTTGCTGTTTTGTTGGTTTGTTCTCGACGATTGCGTTGGGACTGCGTGTCTGCCCGGCAGGGGGACATGCTTCACTGCGCCCCCGCACTGCTGTTTCCGCAGGAGGGACCGGGGATCTCTCTTTTACGTCTTGGTTTTGGGTGGGTGCGGACGTGTGCCTCGGTGCTGGCTGACGCGCAGGCCATCGAATTCGTTTGAAAAAACACGAAAAAAACAACAACAGCTAACAACTTTTCTTGGGCGTCTGCGGACGTTCTCGTCATTGTGTGTCTGCTGAGAGTAAAAGGAAAGAAATAAGGAAGGAATGAGAGTAACAGCAACCCGCTGCGGGTCCCTGTGGAAGTCAAACGGTGTCTGGGCACCGGGGGCTCTCGGTAATTCAAG